AGGGACACCTTCCCTTCACATTTTATGGGTCAAAACCACGAGAGCAGCTTTGCTGCTCATCACAGACCCCCGTGGGGATCACTTGGCTGGGGGCAATGCATAAACCCCGCCGGTGCCGGCAGAGAGACGGTGCCCAGGCCAAGCTGTCGGCACGGCTGAGCCCCGCCGCACGCCAGCAATGCCTCAGCGGGGAGCAGCGCTGGATCCGGCCCCTCTCCGTGCCTCGGGGGAGCTGCAAAATGCCCATCAGCTGCGGGACTGGCCACGCTGGATCACTGCAAGCAGAGCTCGGCAGCGCTGGCTGTTGCTGGATTCTCCAGTGTCTAATAAGGGCTCAGCCCAGCCTGCAGCTTCCCTGCCTTTCTCCCGGGAGGGACCCAGCACCTCCAACCTCTGCCAAATTTGGCTGAAACCAGCCACCGAGTGCAACCAGCCGCGGGCCAGCCCCGCAGGCAGCCCCGGCGGGCAACGGGGGGCTGGCACCCCCCGGGCCCCCCTCTGCCGGGGTTACCCCGCAGGCAGGCACCGCTGCCGAGCCCCACAGCTGCCGCCCACCCAGCATTTTTCCCCCCCCCCCTTTTAGCAATCTATTAGAAAAAGACTGAAGAGGTGAGGCTCAAGCCCCCCCACTCTGCGGGAACGGGGCTGGGCTGACCCCGATGCTACCGGCACGGAGGTGCCGGGGGTCCCAGGCACCAGGCAGGTCGGGCTCCCCTGGTTCTGCCAGGATGAGGGGATGGCGATGCTCACGTGGCTGTGCCTCGGCCGTGTCCCCGCCGCCCTGCCGAGTGCGTGTGGCTGATAACACCGGCAGATGTGCCTGCGCACGTGGCGGAGGAGGCGGCAGCGGCGGCGAGCGGATGCCTTTGGGGGAGCTCCTCTGCCTGGCAGTGATTTTTCTGCCATCCCCTGAGAGTGGAAAGGCAGGTCCTGGCGATGGGAACTGGGAGATGATGTAGCGTGTCCCAGCACCTCCCTGATCCTTCGCACTGGGAGGGCCGACGGCCCTGTGGGCACCTCTCCTGCCAGGAAGAGGATGATGCTGGGGCCCTTCTCCGGACCGGCTGCCTCCTCTGCTCCCTGTCCCTCTCCTCGCCTGCAGCTGGGGTGTATTTCTGCACCAAGCATCCTCCGAGCCAAACCCCACCACGAGACCTCCCAAAAGGACCACGTGAACCTCTCCAGCCCCCGCTGGAAAGAGGCAAGCAGACCCACAGCTCTAACCTGTCGCAGCCACCATGGCCGAGACGGCCACCGCGGGCTGCCAGGCGGCACGATGGGCTCAGGGCTGCTCACTGCCCCTCCGGCCCCAGCTCTTGCACAGAAACGGAGTTAATTATTTCATAGCGTAAAAATAGCACCCACGACAATCAGCTGGGGGATTTAATAAGGCAAGCCCTGACAATTACGTTTCTATTAGTAGAGGTATCATGGCATTGTTAAGGCAGACTCCTGTTAAGCATTTGGTAATGATCCATGCGAAAGGAGAAGAAAGATCACGGTGATCATGGTAATCAATACTCAGCAGGGGCTAAACAGCACGGACGGAGCCCGGCAGCTGACGGGAGGGAAAGGAAGAGGGAAGGAGGGATACGGTATTGGCATGGCCGGGGTGAGAGCTGCGGCGGGTGGGTGGCAGGGTGCTCCTCATCCACAGGGTGCTGCCAGCCCAGGACCCGCTTATCCCTATCCCAGCGTATGCCAGTGCTGGCAGCACCGTGTCCCCCGGGGACCACGGGGCAGAGGAGGGGGCATTAGCGGTAATTTGGGGGATAGGGATGCTAGGAGGACCGAGGATAAGACGATGAGGAACTGCCCTTTCCGAGGAAATGAGGAACCAGGCAGACAATCAACCTTGGATCAGGATGAAAAGGAGGGGTCCTGCATCACAGGGAAATGCTGGATCAACAGGGTTGCTTACCGTGGCTCCGAGCGCTCCCCGATGCAGCCGAGGGGTGATTTTCTCCCCAGCCCCGGCACGAGACCAAACCCTGCCAGGTGCATCCGGACACCCATGCCAGCATGGGAGCCGCCGGCCGGGCACAGGGCGGAGGTTTGGGAGCCTGCGCCAGCACGGGCGGGAGGTGCGTCCGGCCACGCCAAGGACAGGTCTGGCCCTGCTCTCCAGCCACGCTCCCTGCCCAAAGCGCGGCCCCACGCGGCATTGATGTGGTCAGGGCAAGGCTGAGCCCGGCAGACGGCTCAACCAGCGGTGAGACCGGACGGGCCGGGGCCACGCCAGCACGGTGGCTGGGAAGAAGGGGGACCACCCCCGACACGCTGCACCCTGGGGACGTTTGCCCACTGTGGTTTATTTGGCTGGGCAGCTGCGGGCCCCGCTGCCCGCACGCTGCCAGCCCTGAGGGATGCCTTTTGGGGTCTGGCATCAGGCAGATGTCACGCCTCACCAGTGAGCACCCAGGGCTGGGATGTCCCCCCGGCCCCAGATCCAATGCCACCGCGGGTCCCGGGACCAGAGCTTGCAGAGCCAAGCTTTCGCTTGCACCAGTAAGAAAACTTCGTCCCACGTCAGACTTCAGTCCCATGTTAAAACAGTGAGGGTCTGAGGAAGGAGTCCCCCAGGACCTACAGGCAAATACCCAGGGCAAGGGAGATTGGGAGACCTGACACCCTGTCCCAGCTCTGGAGCATCCCAAGGGACATACATGACCCCTGTGCCGCGGTCACCGCAGCCACCCCGGCGCGGGGGCAGCAGTGATGCTCTGCCCTGCTCCAGCCACGACAAGCAACGGGCAGCTCTGTGAGCAACTCGTGTCCTCCGAGACCGGCCGCGCCGGTTATTTAAAACCCGACCAAAGGGGAAGAAAGACAGCGGGGTTCGGCTCGGCCATCCCTGGGGAGGGGCTGGCAGCGCGGGGAGGAAGGAAGCCCTGTCACCCTGCGTGGCCCCTGGGCCACAGAGGTGGCCCCTGCCCCGGGGCAGTGCCAGGCAGCCGCCGCGTCCCGCTCCGGCCGGGCACGCTGCTGCCAGGCAGGGCTGCGGGAGATGGCCGGGGCAGCAGGAGCCTGGCCGCGGGTGGATGCCCATCGCATCCTGGGCTCGGATCGCGGTAATGGCCCTCGCTAGGGATCTCAGCGAGAACCCCGATGTGACCGGCCATGGCGATGCCCTTCACCGAGCCCCCGGGATGCTGCAGGGCTCGGCTGTACCATCGGAGGACACAGGAGCTCTCCTGCCACCGCTGTCATGGCAATACACTTCCCCAGCCCCAAATCCCCTTTGCAAGCTCTCTCCTCATGCTGAAACCCGCACCAGACTCACAGGCAGCATCTTTCCTTGTTTTTTCTTGTTTTTCAAGGCTAGATTGAAGCTTTCCCTTCCTTTTCCGGGGTTCCTGCCTGCCAATGCCAATATCTACCTGTTTGCTCTTCTCCTGCCCTTTGCACTGCAACGCTGCTTGGGCATTTGCCTTCTGTCAGAAGAAACTACTTAAGCCCCGGTTGGGTTCGTGCCTGCAGGGGGGGAGCAATGGGAAAACCCAAACCCTGAACCCTAAACCCCTCTGCTGGCTCCCTGACCCGCTCCATACCGAGCCAGCAGTAAATCCGTCCCTGGGAGCGGGCTGCCAGCGCACCCACAGCCCGTCCCCGTGCACCCAGAGCCATGGCCACAGGTGGGGACGTCGGGGGCTCCGCTCCCCTTGTGCCCGTCCTGCTGCTGCCCCGGAGCCTCCACAGCGTTTCTGCCTCCAGAGCGGGCAAGTGCTGACAAGCAAGTCTGGAGAGCGGCAAAGCGGGGCCCCCAAACCCAGCGGATCTTCACAGCCTGAGCAAAGAGCCCTCAAAAGGTCAACTGAGGCTGCTTCCAGGCTGTTCGAGAACTGGAAGAGCGACTTGCTGTAAAACTCTGCCATACATTTTCCTGCTGTCAGGAAACCCCCTTTTTTCCATGTCTAAGGCAAATGTTAGAGCTGAACCCCAAAGGACTTTGTTGTTGTTTTCATTGCTGTTGCTGCTCCACCCTCCCCCCGGTTAAATCTCTGCTTCCACGGAGTGGCCAAAGGCAGGAGGTTTTGCTGGACGGGTGAGCGGCAGGACGCTCCGCAAGTGCTGACAAGCAAGTCTGGAGAGCGGCAAAGCGGGGCCCCCAAACCCAGCGGATCTTCACAGCCTGAGCAAAGAGCCCTCAAAAGGGGTCAACTGACTGCTTCCAGGCTGTTCGAGAACTGGAAGAGCGACTTGCTGTAAAACTCTACCATACATTTTCCTGCTGTCAGGAAACCCCCTTTTTTCCATGTCTAAGGCAAATGTTAGAGCTGAACCCCAAAGGACTTTGTTGTTGTTTTCATTGCTGTTGCTGCTCCACCCTCCCCCCGGTTAAATCTCTGCTTCCACGGAGTGGCCAAAGGCAGGAGGTTTTGCTGGACGGGTGAGCGGCAGAGCGCTCCCCGCCTCTCCCGGTAAACTCACCCAGGATGGCCGAGATCCCACAGACCCGGAGGAGCCGATGGGGTGGGCTGGGGCATCACCCTCCGTGCCCACCCCAGTGGCTGGGGAGGGGGGAAGTCACAGGTGGGAGGTCGCTGTCACCGGTCCCCCCCCCGAGAAGGAACCCAGTGCATTTACAGTCAAAAATAATAGAAATAAAATAAGTCTCTGTGCTCCCAGAGAGCGCTTTCGCAGAAGGGCAAAGGCTCGATCAAAACCCAGGGGTTGCTGCCTTGCTTTACACGGCACTCTGGATCCAGCAAGAGCCAGGATTTTGACTTCTCTACAGTTTTACCCCAAAGCCACCGGTTCCCGTGTCCCCAGGTCCCACGCAGCACCTGGGCAGGCTGGGGACTCCCCCCACGGCTGGTGGACCAGCATGGCCTCAGCTTGGCCGGAGCAAGGCAGCGGGCCGGCGGCTCCTGCAGAGCACGCAGAGCTGGATTTAAGATGTTCGATCCCTGAGAAACCTTATGGGTGGGCGCGGTGGGGAGAGACGGCCGGTGGAGTTATTTGCCATGAACAGCGCCGCGGCTCAACACCACCGTTGCATGGCCGCGGCAGTAAGGATTCGGGACCTTCTGCGGGTCACCCTCCCTGTGCCGCACAGGGCAACAGTGGCGAAGCAGCTGGGGAAAGAAATGGGCTGGCTGAGCCCAGTGCTGGTGGAAATGAGCTGGAGGAGGCTGGCGTGGCCCTGGGCGCAGGACGGTGGGAGAAGGGAGATGCTCGCGGCGCTGGATGCCCGCTCCCTGAGCCGGCTGGAGCAGGGGGCGGCGATGGCTGGCGCCGAGGCCCCTCCCCGGCCTCGCCCGGGGGCGCCTTCCCGGTCTGCGACGGGGCTGCTGGAGGCCCCGCAAGCCGGCGAGTTTGGTTTCTTCCCTTCTTACACCACAGAAGATGTCGGACACTCTTCCCCCATCCTGTCCTCCCCACGGGCGAAAAACATACTGTAACACGTTGGGGGATGAAAATACCCGGTGATAAGGTCCAGTATCTTTTCTTCCCCCCAGATTACGAGGTAGCTATGAAATAATGTGTATAAACAACCGGCTTTAGATCCACGCCTCTCTGAACAGCTTTTGTAATGGAAATGCATAGAGATGTGCGGAGACGAATAAGGAACTGAGTAATAGGAAGCCTCGGCGAAGGCCGTGGGCACCGGCTCACCCGGAAGCCGCTGTTATTCCAGGCAAGAGCCCGAAGTGCCGAACCCCACGAGCGCGTGGCGCGGCGGCACGAAGGCGGCGATGCCTGCCGGCCTCGCTCTGCCGCGGCTGCTCAGGCATGGCCGGGGGGTTGGCGTGAGAAACCGGCCCGAGGAGCTGGAAGGGAAAGGCAGGGCACCCCACGTGCACCGAGCGTGGCTCCTACCTCTTCTCGAGCTGACTTTCCGAAATAATTTTATCCAGAGGATAAAAATTTGGAAAGAAAGAGGAAAAGCCACAGCAGCTTCAGCCCACGCTCTGCAGAGGTCGAGGAGCGACACGGCGGCTGCTTTGCTGCTCCGGCCCTGTTGCTCACGGGGAAGGGCCCCGAGCCCCGAGCTCACCAGCCCCCTTTGCACAAGCCCAGGGGAAACGCAAGACTCTGTAGCCCAAGTCCAGCCTAGAAGTGAGATTACAACCAAAGATAAGCAAAGGCAGGGGAGGATGCACTTTGGGAGGTGGCAGAGACGCGCTGCTCCCGCACCTTGGGCAGACTCAGCATTAATCCCTCCGCCAAGGTATTTTTCTCCCTTACCCTCTCGGGGTTTGAGTTGCATTATCTGATTATCTGCCTGTGGTTCCTTCTTCTTTTTAATAACAATATCAAAATGGGCACCCACACCCGGATTGAGATATATTCATGTCACTAAATTCCTGCTTCTCCACTATAATCTTATGAGGTGGAGTTTGTTTAATTGCTGAAGAACACGACTGTATTTTGATCAGCGGCTTGAGTCATTTGTGGGGAAGGGCTGACGCGGAGGAGCTAAAATCCTTGTAGGGAAAAAAAAAAAATGTGATGTGGCGCTCTCCCTTGGGAGATATTCTGAAATATGTGCCCACTGGGGCAACCCGTTTTCCCAAAGAAAACGATATCCACCAGGTCAGCAAACGCCACGGGCTCCGCTCATCCAGCGTGACACGGGACGAGCGTCTCTATCGACGGGGATGGTGGAGACGCATCCAGAGGGGAATGAACTCCCCTCGCAGCGGGGAAATCCCTCCCACTCACTTAACACTTTTTGTTTAGTTTCTTAAATAAGGCCATGGATCCGCGCCAGAGCAGCTTCACGGAAGCGGCAGGGAGAGGGAGCGTCCTGGGGGAACCTCTCCATGCCCAGAGACGCACCGCGACCCACGCGCGGAGCAGCTCCGGCG